GCGATGACGGTGGCGACGACGACGACTCCCGCCAGTGCATGGGTGAGACATGTTTTCGTGCTCCCGAGTCCCGTTTGAATCCGGCAGGCATGTCGGTTGTGTTGCCGATTTCACATGATCGAAATAATCACACTCTGCGTGCGGGGCCGCGACGGATGCGGTGCGTCCGTGTCGTGCGTCATGAAGAAATTCAATTGACACAGGCCGCCTGTTCTGTCGTGGGATGTGGTGCATACGGGCACGCGTAATGATTCTGATTTCACCTTCGGAATGCGTGAAATTCCAGCAGTACCCAGAGGAACCTGTCAGGTTTTTCGTGTTTCTGATTCCCGCCAAGATTTTTTTTGGAAGCATTCTGGCCGTGCTTCTGAATCCTGCTAGCACGTGCAGGGGAAGCAGCTTCTCTTAGGTTGTCGCGAGGAAGTATGGCGTGAGGTTGCATGGCATTGATTTTTGTGAGGTCGGTTGACCCTTTGGTTTTCGTGAGGTTGTTTCTGACTCTGAGGAACATTTTGTTTTTAGAGGGGCTTCTAAACGCATTTGCAGAAGGCTTTATAGAAGAGTGTTAAACGAGGCTTTATACAGGAGTTTATGAGTCGGTTGATGCCAGATCATCTGTTGCATTGTCGTGAGGCCGCAGTGCATCTGTGTTTTGGATCCGATTCGTCGAGGGTTTATATAGAAGGGTTGATGGAATAATGTGTGGATGGATGGATGGATGGATGGATGGATGGATGGATGGATGGATGGATGGATGGATGGATGGATGGATGGATGGATGGCGTGCGGATATGAAAAGATGGATGGGATGGATGGACGGATGGGTGGATGTATGAATGACTGGCTGAATTGATGCTTGGATGAATGGATGGATGAGGTCATGCTCGGTCTCACTCACTTCTCTAGTTGCTTTCGGGACGCCCGTTCTCGAGATCCCAATCGCGCCGCTACACCTAGTAACCGAGAGATGCATCCCCAGATCGCCGCAAGCCCATGAGTCGAAAAGCTATGCGGCCATTCGCACTCGAAGCGGCCCTGCCAACTTGCCGGCCAGGAGAGGATCCTACGAATTCACAGCGCTTTGGCCGTGAACTGGACCAAGGCCCACACGGCCAAGTCCTGCTCTCAGAGTCAACAGCAAGTCGAGGCCCCATGCCCAGACGGAGCTCCCGTGTCAGGTCCAACTGGACTGCCTGGAAGGAGCAGATCATCAATGCCGTCAAACTTACGGCCCGCAGGGTTCAGTCGTTTCAGGCTTGCGGGGTTTGTCACCTAGCTTTTGGGAAGTCATTCCTGCGTGTGGAAAGATCGAAACTGTCATCCATCGGCGCAGTCGTGTGTCATGAAGCGTTTATGATCCCAGCAAGACGAACCGACCCTTCGGAACTTCGGCGCCTCTGGCATGCATCGGGTCAGGAGGACGACGAGGAAGAGGAGGAGGATGGCCAGGAGCAGAGCGCCCCTGCAGAGAAGAGGAGTCTGCTGGGTTCGAAGTTTGGTGACACTTCGGCTTTCAGAGGCCGAAAGGCTCGGCCGACTTGGTCCAGTCTTGGTCTTTTTGTTCAGCCAGGAGAGGGTGCATGCAGTATATCAACATGGCGTTGACTGCGGTGGGGGACCCGACTGCCAGCTGAGTTTCGTGCTGGAGAACTGCAGAAGATCGTTCGATTTTTTGCATGCTCTAGTGGATGTATGGCCCATAGCTGGAGGTGCTCGGGGTTCCCTGGAAGATTTTCTTTTCGCTGCGGTCTCAGTGTTCGTACGTACGACGTAGTGTTTTGACACCAAGTCCTGCACGGACTGGCTGTATGCCATGCAAGATCAAGTGAAGCCGTGTGAATTTGAGGGTGATTCCACCACCTGGATTCTGCGACGGCTGGCTGTGCTTTTTCTGCTCCCTTGGTGGCATCGGTGCTGCCCTGAGGCTGAGGGCTTGATCGGATCCCCAGGTCCAGCCTGAAGGGGGCTGTGTGGCTGTGTCTCGTGTGTTTCTCGTGTGTGTCTCTCTCTCTCTCTCTCTCGCTCTCTCCGCCAGTGCCAGCCTCTGTAAGGACTGCTGACAGCCATAGTTGGAGACCTGGCCGCGCTCCTGGGGCGCGGATGCTCAGACTGTGAGAACCCCCTCCTGGCACCACCGTCATTTCCCATCGGCCTTTCCCGCCCTCGCCCGCTCTCGCCCGCTCTCGCTCGCCCTCTCCTCTCCCTGTCCCCCTCTCTCCCTCTCTCTCAGTCAGTCGGAGCAACCAGCCTGGAAGGTGCGTCCTCGACATCGGCAGTGCCATCACTGCCATCACTTTAGCTTCTCGGACCGATGGTAGCGAACCGCATTCCAGGAGGGAGCCAACAGAGACGGGGCTTACAAGGGAGTGAGCAGGGCTGTGCTCACAGTATAACCGAAAGCCGCGAGTTCGCCTTTGTGTGTTCAGAGTTGCTCTCCAACTCGCCTGCAGCCTTAGAAGGAGCCCAAGACAAGCTCAGCATTGTGTCTTGCTGCACAACAGTTGAGGTGGCGCTCGGCACATCCTTACCCGACACTTTCGCGAGTCGACAAGCGGCCGTGCAGGCTTTTTTTGGGAGGGGGCAAACCAACATTGCATCGTGGCATTGTAGCATGTATCTAGACTGAAGCTCGGCTTGTTCTGCTGGTGCCGGAAGAGTCCGATGTCCGAATGACAGCTGTTCGTGCAGGATCCTACGGCAGATGCTTCGGTGGGCAACGTCACAGGACTTCTTGGGCAGTTCAGAAATTGTAAGGTGCAATGTGCATCGCGGAAAGTGCAGGGGGCCGTTTCAAGTTTCTGGCCTTACATTTTGAGAATCTCGTAGGCCCTGCTCTGGAAACGCTCCCCGACCCCAGAGTTCCCAAATATTTCTGAGAAACACCGCGGCCGCAGTGCAAAGCTGAGTCATTTGAATCCACGCTCTCATGCAGAGTTGGGATGTGAGCTTCCCTGCGTTGAACACTCTGTGGTTGATGCGTGGCATCGGAATGCCAGACTGCAGGAAGCAACTCCGTAAATGTATTCCTGGGGCTTGGCATGCCGTGGACCTTAGGTGCTGGGCCCTCAGCTCTCTTCGCGGCAGGGATTCGTTTTCGTGTTTTTTTGGGAGCACGTGTGCTGATAGTAAACGGAAAGGGGCGAGGTGAAGGCTGATGACATTTGGACATTTGACAACTTCTCCTGCCCTGAGCACGAACCTTCCGCGACGTCACAGGCCCTGTTCTGGACCATCGGCGGCGCCGATGCTACCTGGAACGAGCGGTTTCAGGCTGCCACACTCGCCTCAGAACCAAAGTTGTTGAGACCATCTACCACAATACTGATTTCGGGCACCAGAGGTTTAGGACAGGGCATCTGGACCGCGGGAACCTCTGAGTCTAAGTCACAGAGACAGGACAAGGACTTCATAGTCGGGACCTCCTGGGCCGGAGGCGCAGCTCTCTCAGTGTCCAGACTATGCATGCCCATGTAGCCACGCTCTCATAAGCCGGCAGCACGTCAGCGTTGTCGAAACTGTGCCTTTCCAGGGAACCTGATGCCATGTCACCCACCTCAATCCATCCTTCTGCAGCTGTGCTCGGGTCAAAGCGCAGAGGATCAAAGCGTTAGCTGCCATGGCCTTTGCAGGTTATGGAAAGGAGGTGAGAGCTCATCCATCCATGTCTGTCAGGTGTCACTGTCATTCAGACTTCAAACCTCTCAGCAGCCATCATTTTTGGAGCTTTATGTTTAGCAACAGGCCTTGCAAATGTCGCGCCAGGACGACGAGAAGCTGGTTTTCAGCCAGCCACGAGCTCGTGGTCAGCGCTACCCACTCTACAGCCGGACGTGGAACAGAAGCAGGGAGGACCAGTGGGCCAAGAGAGACACTAGAGTCACGTTAGAGTCGCTGGAGATTCTCACAAGCGGAAGCATAAGTCTAAACGAAGACTCAGCATATAAAGAGCGACTCTTGAACACACTGGGCGTACAAAGAGCGCTGGACTGCATCGTGTCAACACTTGCATGGCCATCCCCTTCATCACCCTCATGCTACGCAGAATCAGAATGAGAAGGACTTGGAGACTGCCGTGATGCAGCTCTATGGTTTGGACAGTGTCCTGCTGCAACAAGGCTTATTCCGGTAGGATCTTATGGGCCTCGGCATCGCGAAGAGACAACGAACTGTTTAACAGTTTAACTTATGAAGTTTCATGGAGTCTATCATCTTGAGCTCAAGGCAGGACAAATCACGCCCTCATTCTCCCTTCTGGCATGGGGGCCATTGGGGCGTTGATCTCCTCTGCAGCTTGGCTTCAGGACTGGGGTGGCTCTGCAAACGAACCGGGGCCGTTCGAGTGCTAGTGAAGACGGCAGGAACGGCCGCATGGCTGCCAAAGTCCGGCTGGTCGCTGCCTCTAAGGTTGCTGCTGGCCTGGCTGGCGAAACCTGGACCTTGGTCCATGGGGACGAGCTGTACTGCGAGGCAGGCAAACGGAGAGTGACAAGGTTGGAGGACTTGAGTACATTCTTGAGTCTGCCTGCCACGCGGGTCTTATGCACTTCGGGGTCACACTGCCGACACAGAGGGTGAAAGCAAAGCCTAGTTTCCGAAAGCCAGGGGCTGGATTGCGGAAAGATGCCGATTGTTACCTATGTAGCGAGGGGAACAAGCGATTCGGAAGAATACTTAAAGTTGCGTTCGACTCCGGTATTCATGGCCTCCGGCCTTCAACAACAGACTTCGCGCTGACATAGATTTTATTTCTATGGTGCGATAAGGGCGCTGCAAGCTTACTTGTACACCATTATTCGTTCGAAAACCCAACCTAAGGTTTACCAGATGATCTTATGTTCATCATAGAGGCTTCATATTCTACAATAGTCGAACAAGAAACCCTAGCGCTGCCGAGAAAACGGCAACTTAATAGAGCATTGATCTGAAGTTCTGGTCTTCGAGTTTATACACAACGGCTTTAAGATGTAAAGCAATGTGTCCGCGACCGAATCGCGATGGGTCCGCAAAAAGGAAAGCAACTCTCGAAAGTTTTTAAGTAACAGGCTGCAGACACAGAAGACTTGTGTGCACAGGTTATATTATTGCGCAATGCCGAAGCACACCCAAAGCCAGGTTTGAGGCTTGACCCGGCTTGACTGGGTTGCAAGAGGAAGACGCAGCTGCGCCGTCGTCACCATCATTAGCATCTCCATGACCATAACCATCCTAATGGTAATGACCGAACCCTCAACCCATGGCCCTCCTACTACTACTACTACTACTACTACTACGACGCGCAAAATGGGCGGTTTGCCCGCGCACCTGCT